GGACTATTTTGATGATAATTCCATTTGCTCCTATTACATTCGTAAGCAATACGTAGATGAGTTCTTAAAACAGTCTCGTTAGTACCCACACGTGACCAATAACTTGGTACTCAATTATCGAATTTCTTTTATGTTTGAATTTGTCTTTAGATTAATGTTGTAGAATTCAGTAAATTGCATAATTTTCAATTTTAGTTTTGCAGGATTTCAGCTTCGTAAACCGGCATTTAACCCCTTTTGTTTCTCCGCCCGAGGGATCGACCGCTTAGCGTTTGAACAAACTACTTCGCTGAAGATGGAACGCTGCATAACTAGACGTATATATCACTGTTACGCGTACCGCGTTTCTTACGCCGGCGAATTATACCGAAACGAAGGGTTGGAATAAAGGTAGTTGTAAATTATGAATGGGCCACGAGTGGCTCGAAATTATGGCGGTAACGTGAAAGCAGCGTGAACCAGAGGGTAGCTGTAAGGGCGCGGAAGACGTCGGCGTATTTCGCGGCTCGAAAATGCCGCTGTGAAAGGAGTGGCTAGCCGTTGAAAGGCTCGACGCGCGCGCACTGCGCTCGACGTCGAGGGTTTAGTCCCGTACGTTTATATACGAGCTCGTGATTTATCGCGTTCAACTTTAAATTCGCCCGAGTTTCATCGACCGTCGCGGAGGATAACGCCGTTTCTTCAGAACGCCTTCAGTATCGAAATTAAATAAACTATCTCTGTGGAGTCCATTCTTTAGATCTTCGCGTTTTATCGACGCCAAATTCTGCGGTAACGGAACTGCTCGAATATTTATGGCGACCGGACACTAATTAATCCAGAAACTTAGACTGTTTTAATATTCAAACGCCGGAAGAACGCGAACAACAGATAATTCTCGTGCTTATGCAAGTTGGCAAGGTCAGGTTTCGTGGTTTCGCACGCGATTACGTTCTATTCCCAGAAGAAAAGTAAAGCCTCCGGTGGCCGGCATTAATATTCATGGCATCGGCACGAGCGACGCTTTAAACCTATGTATAGGTACACAACACGAATCAAATCTGGCTGGGTAATAAGCATGCATGCGATGAAGTGATCGGTGTTATTAACATAGACCTTGTCCCGACTGGCGATCTACCGTGTTATTCCACTTGGTAAAACGGCCGAGTGAGGCTACCTTCGATTCGAGGGATTACGAAGGCAACCGAAGGAAAACGGCTTGAAATTGCCCGCGGTCACGCCAGCACCCTCTCGATGGAACCCTCCTATGGCCTTTTCACCCCGTTCTCTCTCTCTAGCCCCTGGCACACCCGATCTTCCGCAATTTTCCCCCGCCGATAGCGCTTCGATCGGACTACTTTGCCAAAATTGCAATAATTCGTTCGCGATTGTTGTTTCGGACGTGTGCGATGGGGCACGCGACGTTTTCATCGGCTGCCCGTAACGATGAACGATGGCCAAACGGAGAGAGTACGAAGAAACGAATTACAAGCGTAACAGGAGGGAATTGCGAGAGAAACGATTTCCCGTTCGATCCTTTTCGAACGTGTCTGTCTTCTTCTCGCCGCTCTCTCTTATCTTGATGGAATATCGATAATGTAACGCGTCAAACAGGGAAACGAATGTCCGTAAACTAAATTGCTTCATTTAGATTTCAATTACTATCACCTTCGCAAATGTATCTAAGAGTAAAATCTTAATTTGTAATATATTTTCTGATATCACAATGCTAAATAAACTCGTAGGGGTTTAAATCAGCTTCTCATAAAAATCTTAATTTATAGCGATAGCCACATCTGTCAGAACATAAATTATTCTGACACTAAAAACGAATAAAAAGCCCGGATGGTTTTTTCGCGGACCTCTTTGACGGAAGATGGAACGCGTAATAACCAAGAAAATTGAAGAAGAAATTACTGAAGCATAAACTACAGGAGAGGGCATCGATTGAACGGTGACGATACGGAAAATAGTCGACAATGGAGAATTGCGAGAAAAAGTGGATCGTTTCTTATTGCATCTCATTCCCGACATTCTTCACTTAATTAATTTGTCCGCCTCGAGGAGACGAACTTCGCAAGAAATATAAAAATAGCTTATGTAACATCGATTTGTAACATTTCTGCGGACTCATGAACGATGTAACCGTAGTTCGGAATTGTCAGAGGACCGATAAAGGCGAATTACCAATCAGCGTTAAGTCACGAGAACTCCTTGACGAGCTATTCTCGTGGGGGTACTTACCGCGGACTTTCCTTAAAGCCAGAAAAAAGTTAAGTGAATATTGTTAACCTTAAAAGGTAAACGTAGCGTGCCGCATGAAAGTCCGACTATAAAGGAAGTGTACGCGTATATTCCTAAATTCCTAGATTCGGAATTTTATGTCGGCAGATTGTACAGATTTCCATATCTTCGGAAACTCGGGTATCTAGATCCCTACATTCCCGGATTTCCATATTTCCAAATATTCTGAGATTTCTGTATTCTCCAAACTTAGACCTCCTATTCCTGTGTCCCAAATTTTTTTGTCTCCAGTTGAACATCCCTATAACTAGATCACATAATTCGAAATTCGTAGATCCATTAAGGGAACTTTCGGTCCCCTTTCAACGAGAAGTTGTGGACTTGTAAGATCGTATTCGCAACGATGCGGTTGGGTGATCGACCCATTGCCAAGTCGTTTTCGGGACGTTGTCGGAGACGTAGAAACTGAAGATTTTGTGGGTGCTAAATATTCGCGGAGGTAGTTATCGATGCAGTTTATCGCAAGAACTAGAGAAGGGCTGGCATACGAAGTGACTAAAGTGCTTCGACCGTACTGCGACATCGCGACATTATCGTAGCGACGCATTACAGGCACACGCGCGTCGCTAAACCGTTTAATGCGAAACTCGCGAACGATCGTTTAAGCGGTCGACGAGGGATTTTAGTACGCTGCATCGCGTTAATATCTAGCCTAGGACATTTCGGTTTTATTATAGAGGTCGAAGAAAGGAACGGTAAAAACGCGGTAACGAACGGAGAATTATTCGCGCTGTAATTAAAGCCCATCGATAAACGATCGGACATTTTTATCTAGAAAATCGGAATCCGTTCGCATACTTGTTAAATAGCGTTGGAGAATTTCTGCAACGTCTACGAATAGTGTGCGGGGACTTAGCGAAAATAATTTGCTGGGTAATTAGCTTTTAACCGATTTCGGAGACCCCGTTCTAAGCAGTATCTTTAACGGTTATTACGTTGCACGGCATAAATTACACTCCCTCCTTGTAAATCACGCTGTTGCGAAAGGGTAATTAGTATCGGTACAAACATGGAGGAACAACGCGTGCACGTTAATAATGACCGCGGCGACGCGAGCTTGTGACGTGGAACATCTCCTTCACGCGAACGCTCGCGTGACGATCGCGGACGAAGGGAAACGAAACGAGGACCAATAGCTCGACCATCGAGCGCTGCAAATGGCTTGGATTATCTAAATGACTCGATAATACCGTCGAAAAGCTTCTTGGGGAGTAGCTGAATCGATAATCAAGTTAATTCATGTAATAATTCATGGACGAATGTGGAAGCATGACAGAAACGCGCAGACGCCACCACGATGGGAACTGTTTCGATTACTAATAAAGCGAAGCAGAATTTTAAAACTGCCAAACTGGGAAATAAATCGCATCAGAGTTTTAGGCCACCGAGTAAAAGTTTCGGGAAAAATGTGCTGGACACGTGGAATACGAATAAGCTCGCAGTTCGACGTTTACGATATTTTTACGGCCCAATTTTTACCTGCACGTCGCAATCGCAGAATTATCCTCTGTAGACAAAATATGCTTAGCATGTCCGAGGAGCGACAAAAATTTTCCGTTTCCTCGATATGTAGAAATTCCTGCCGAACCGATTTATCGATACCGTCGTTATTAAAATTGCTCGTCGAACGCTTGGCGGAGTATTTTTTATTGCGGGGCGAAAAAAATATTCCAACGGAAACGTTACAAACTTTAATTATCGAATAACATGGCATACGTTTCACGTAAAAATTACGATTCCTAGATGCCTGAGAATCCGGGTTACGTTCCGAATCGGGAAATGGCGGTATAATGAAATAAAATAAATCCGCCAAGGAAATATTGCCGCGAGTTCGAAGCTTATCCATGGGCACAAATAAAACGACTGGTAAATGAACGTAACGGACGCAGCAGAATATGTATTTCCGTTTCGCGTATCGGTTTGACATTCGTACATTAAAGCCAACAAGAGCGTTTCCAACGGAAGTAGGTCATCCGTTAACGGCGAGATTCGGGCCCGTCACCCCAAGAATTACTCAAATTGCTTTAATCAACTAATCCTATTTTCCTTCGATTCGTCTACGTGTTCGAGCCATGGAAACCTGGGGCTCGTACAAAACCGTCATTCGTCGAGGAACTAGTTTGACGAACAATCAATTGTTTCTCCACCAATGGAGTCCAATTCGTCCTGTTATTTTTCTACCAATTCGACGGAAACACGCGCAAGCCGAACCTTTTCTAGCCGAACTTCAATTTCCAAACTCCATGTCGATAAAAGTTTCACACGCATTCGAGATCGTAAATATGACGTACATAGCCCCCGAATAAACCGTAACAAAACCGGAACTCGAACGGCGCTAGTCTGGAAGTAATACTAGCCTTTAATTACCGGCAAAAGTTCGTTCGCGAATGCCAAAGTTTCAACCTCGAACCAGATTTCATTAACCGCGCCGAGATAATAACAGGCTCGACTATACTTTCCGCCGAGACAAAGAGCTCGTAATTAACGACAAAACGTATCGTTTAATGGGGACACGGAACCTCCGAAAATTGCAAAAAACAGGTGATAAACTTTATCTCGAAAACCGATGCGAGCCACATTTACACCGCTAATTTATACCGTTGGTACCCATGCTTTAGAAAAGATTCAAAATAAAGAATCCATAAATTTTCAAAAGTATCATCCACACCTGAGAAGAGTTTCTACTATATTGTTTTTGTGAAGAGAATGTCGCTTACCAGAACGTAGACGGCAAACGGCATGACGAGCACAGCGACGAGCAGATCGGCGACGGCCAGGCTGACGATGAAGTAGTTGGTGACGGTTTGCAGCGCCCGTTCTCGAACGACGGCGAGTATGACGAGCACGTTGCCGAACAACGTCAAGCAAGGCACGATCACCAGGATGAGCGCCCACCAGCTGTTCGCGTTTGTCTTTTCGTCGACGTCGGTTGCCCCGCACTCGTTCACTCTCGCCACCCCGGACGCGGTGCCCGCGACGATGGAGGACGTGCAGTTCAAGCTCCCGTTGAGATTCAAGTTCCCTCCGTCGTAATAGGCCGTCAGATTAACGAACGCGCTGTAGTTCAGCCGATTGATGTAATCGTTGAGGTCGTCGAAGACGAACAGGTCCGATATGCCGGTGTAGTTCTCGGAGCTGGGCGTCGTGGACGACAGCGAGGAAAACGACGAGGACGACGACGATGACGGGACACCGAAGAGGAAACCGGAGAGCGTGGAAGAGATCGAGTCGTTGTACCAGCCCAGCTCGATACCGCTGCTCGAATCTTTGTCGGCTTTCGAGAGGGCGTCGTTCAGCGCGATCTCGTCGCGAACGTCCTCTTTCGTCCCGTTCACCGTGAACAAATCCATCGGACGTTGGTCCAACGACAGATTCCTCAGGATGGACCTAACGAAAGACTCGTTCGTCTCGACAGCCATTTCGGGGCGTTGGTTCTTCTCCGAACGTCGATCACGACATCTCGAAACGGCTCAGCTGAGCTCTCGTTTTTTCGATTCTGTCCGACATTTTCTTCGCCGTTATCTAAATCCTCGTGTCCAAACGTTTCGTTCCGGCTGTTTCTCGCAGGCGTCCTGTCGCGCTGGAACGATAAGGTCCGCACGCGACGAACCAACCGCTGCGTTCCGCTTGCCCTCTCGCCGATCACCCCAGGCTCAGACGCGTATCATTGAAATCCCTCGCCGTGAATCTCTGCAACGATAGGGGAAAAAAGGCGTTGGTCAATGTTATCGGTTACCTTGCCCTAGCTACCTCGTCTGTGCCAAATGGAAACGTAATGCTCGTTCGCGTGTCGCGTGATACGATTCGCTCGCCCACGAGCATCCTATCTTCATTTTATTTCACGGACTCGTAAAGGACACCGGAACAGAAACACGAGCAGTTACGTCACTCAAGGTCTAAAAATTATAGCAAATTTCCTCTGATCGAATCGGTCATTTATTTCGATAATTTAACTACTCTCACTTTTATATTAATGGCCACACCTCAAGCGTCGTCAGGAACGAATATTTTTGAAAATTAATTTAGAAGAACTTTGTGTGAGGTCACGAAATAATTCTACATGTGAGAACAAAATTGGGATAATTATTGAAGCAATCCATCAATCATTACACAAAGGGTGTGGCCAATAACCTTCATTGCATCACACACATGTGAGCGGATATTAACAGTTCCGTCCATCATATGTATGTTGTGTGCGAATAATTATAATCTGTATAATCAACGATCATTGACGTAATGTAGCTAACATTTTCCTTCAGTTATTCTAAAGTTGGAGAATAATTAAGGAGTTGATATTTATAAGTTATCGAAGCGTAGATCAGTCTACCTCCTGTTTACAGAGTAAATTACAGGATGCGAAGTTTCGGATTAATCGTTAAACGGAATGAAACGCGTAACGAAGCTGCGCGTTTAGGATTTCTAATTGTTAAAAGTTGGAAGAGCTTAAAGCAGAATTCTATAATCGCGAAAACTGTTAAAGCCACGCGCACGCTCTTGGAGTAAGCGTTCCGTTATCGCGAGGCAACAAAGGGAAGATTGTACCGCCGCGTTTCCATTGTTAGAATTGAATTATACGAACCGAACCGGGGAAAGCCTATCGTTCCGGCTTCTTAAAGCGAAAAGACGGAATATCCATGAATCACGGCCGCGTTCATCCGTTCGAAACGAATGTTGTCGCGCAATCTCGGAATTAAAAGAAAACTCGGCTGCTCTCCAATCGGTTTGCTTTAGTTTCGCGCGAGAGCAGTTTTCCTCTCGAATAAAAAGAATCGAAGGGAAAATAAAGGCGGGCACGCACGGAGGGGTGAATTGACGGATGAACGGGCATTATAGCACAGTGGTTCTTAACCACTGATTCTTTCGAAATTACTTTTATAAGAAAAATCGACAGTGAAGATGAAAGTTCTGATGGTGGAAAGTTACTGTGCGAATCTAGTTAGAAAAATTTTAAGAATTACGAAAATAAAAAGAACAAGTATATTAAAACTTGAAGATGTAATTTTGAAACTCTGAAGCAGATTGCACTTCTGTGGAGAAAGAGAATATTGTTTTTGATACAAATGGAGTATAAATGAAATTTGTACGGTTGCAAAGTAAAAATGTTGCTTAAGAGAAGTTAAGAACCACTGTTGGAGTCGTTTCCTTAGCCCTTCCGGCGCAGACGGCGAGAAGGGGAGAAGAAATCTCGAACGCTTGACGTATTCCGAGGGACTTTGGGACCCTTTTAAGAACAGAAATCATCTCCTTATCCCCTAGGACCCTCCATCTTCCTGTTCTACATACACTAGCTGATTCAATCGTATCGCTAACCTATCTGTCTTTCGCGTTTCAAACCGTCGTGTCAGCGTTCGATTTTATTATCTGATCGCGTTAAAAAAGTTTAAACTAGTTGGTTTAAGTTGCTACTTGTTTCGTAATACCGGTGCTGGACTGTTGAAATATAGCGAATGCAATATCTGCAAAGAACGACAAAAGAAGAACGTAAAACCGTGGCGTGGAAAATGAAACAGCTTGTTTCGCAATTCCACTATTGTCTTCTTCTGGACTCTTTGCACTTAAATAGCTTCTCTGCCTTTAATACGGTACGTATCGTTTTATCGCTTACAGTTTGCCGATATTTACGCTTCGTAACCTCGGTGAACGCGGGAAAAAATGTCAGTGCTGGTCTGCGAAAAAATGGCGGTGAAACCGAATCGTGTGACATTTTATGTCCTGTCGCTTTTTAACACTAAACTTACCGGCTTATAATGTGTATTTAATTTGAAGCTAAAAAATAAATAAACAAACGACGAAACATAAGTACACACATTTATTGTTTATCTTGATGGAAAGCAATTCTGATTTCAAGAAATATATTTTAACAAAATGTGTACCTTGTAATAAGAAACTAAACCTACCAGCATATAATGTGTACTTAATTTGAAATTAAAAATGAAGTTAAAAAATAAATAAACAAACGACGAAACATAAGTACACACATTTATTGTTTATCTTGATGGAAAGCAATTCTGATTTCAAGAACGTACTTTAACAAAATGTGTACCTTATAATAAAAAACTTGTGGAGCCATTTGACCGGTTTTAGTGTTAATCAACATGCGTGAATTTACAGTTCAGTAAAAGCTACGTGCTTGTAAAAACATATAAATCGTTACAGCCGATAATTTTCAAATGACGAATGCAATTAATCACGATAAAACGATACGCGTTTCCTTCGGATGTTGAATATGCAAGTATGCAAAGTGACGTTATAATCCCGAGTGAAGAGCACAGTGTTGAAATTTCGTTCCCGATGAAAGCTCTGGCATTTCAGTAGCTTCCCCCCGCCGTCTTTTTCCTTCTTTCTTTACGCCGTCCTTCGCCTGTATGCAAATCGGAAGGACGCGAATCTGGCCTACGTTTTTTCGACGCGAATACCTTGGTTAACGCGGTGTAAATTTTCCATCGGTCACGTCAGTTTCTACGTCGCTTCCAATTTATTTCACGCGCGAGCTGCGTGAAAATTTGACGCGTATCGACGATCCACGATACGATTTGACCCGGATATTTATAAGCGCTTAAGCGGAACGGCGTAAAAATGTGACTACTTAGCTGGAATAAAGGTCAATTCGAAAGAATCGTAACTCGAGCGGACATTCGTGAATATCTGCGGAATTTCTTTCTCGCTCCGAGGAGAAAACACCGAATGTTTAACACGAACGGATTCCCAGGAATTCACCCTTTCCTCGGCACGCCCGGCATGGGAGTTTCATCCTTCGCCGATCCGGGACACCTTTGAACGTGCCTTTAAATTACGCACCGAAAATCGCGGAAAGATCACCCGCTGACAGAAAGCAGACACCGTATGGAAACACAATATGCAATTCATTCCGTGTGTCGGTGGTTTCTGGCGCGCAAGAAATGGAATCGCAACCCCCAAGATTGATCGTTCTTGCAGCTTACTTGCAGCACGAAGCAAAGCACGATGCATCAAGAAAGGGAAAAAGATGGCTCCGTGTCGTGGCAAGCTAGACTTAGATTAATTAGTATAATGCTTTTAATTAATTGCGCACAATTGAACGGAGCTCTTCCTTCCGTTTTTCGCTCGAGTTTCAACGCCGATTACTTACGAACCCTAGCGACGAACGCTTGCGCACGATTCTTCAAAAATCTTTCGTGGATTTATGCTTCGCAGCACCTCCAGGAAAGGTGCAATGACAAGGGGTGCAACAGGTAACGGATACCATCTCGAGTTTAGCGAAGAAAATCGAAGACTGCTGCTAAAAGGGTGCAGCTCTAATTTGACCAACTTCGAGTAAATTAGGAAAGTGCTTAAAAAGTTACTGCTTTAATTTAACGTTAAACAGAGAATACTAATTTCAAGGTACATATTTCCGCGATAAGGAAACGAGCTTTCTACTTTTGCTGATTTCAAGTACTTTATAAACCAAGTACTTCATTTGAAATTAAAAATTAAATAAATTAGTACACACATTTGTCGTGATGAAAATCAATTCTGATTTCAAGAACGTACTTTAACAAAATGTGTACTTTATAATAAGAAACTTGTGGAGCCATTTGACCGGTTTGGTAGTTTTAGTATTAAAGTGAAACGGTTGTTTTCGCTATAAAGAAAAATTGTTGCTTAATAGAGAAAGTTTGACTTAATTCTTTTCGAACGTTTGTAATTCAATTCGCGGTTCTCGGAACATTTAAAAGCGATTATTAGAATATAAGGATGCCATCGCTGTAAGTAGCGAACGTAAGCGTTTACGTCCGACAGTGGAACGAGGCGTAATAAGGTCGACAGCACGAGATTCGACGGTCATTACTCTTGCGGCTTATCCTGTTCTTGCCGAGATTCCGGAACAAGCGTTAATTCAAAACGTTTCTGACCCGCGAGATTACGTATATCTGCTACTTTACACACGCTATCCGACTTTATCTCTCTAATCGAAACCGTACAGCGTTGACGGGGTGAAAATGATGATAATGGCAAGCATGCTATCCGTTCGATAAATTTCATTTACCCTGATGGATTTTTGAAAAATATTCGATAATGATCAAAGTTGCGACAGTACGAATCGTGCCAGTAAACCTCAGTTTCGAATAAATAACATTGAATCCAGCAGAGATTTTGTATTCCGCCTGCATCCCTTCGGTGTCTTCCCCCATTTATATCCCCTTTAATTCGACCACCCTTTATTAGCCCGAAGACCCTCCCTTTCTGCCGTCAAATCGCTTTTTAATTAATGGTGGCTAAGGTCCACTTAGCAATTCAAATCGCATATGGCTAGACCCTTGACACGAGCATTTCTCGGTCAAGAGAACGTTCGATGCGAAATCGCGGCGTTAGTGGTTCGAACGAATCGTTCGATCGTTACTCACCATCGAGCAAGCTCGTGACACCTTCGCTTCCAGAATAAACTTTATCCATGATTATTTTCCCTTCGATCCAGCCGGTTACACAAACACTGGGATTCTATCGTCTCGTTTAACGAGAAAGGATGCGAGTGTAACTCGATTCACGCGAGAATTTCCTCATGGTGTCACGCGTTCGTCGTCAAGTTCTCCTCGTGTCTTCCTCATATTCTGCGCAAGACGCGTCGAGTCTATCGAGTGCTCTCCCTCTCGCCGTCTCTCTGTCTCTTCGCGTGTGTATCAGAGGGATGATCTCGAGCAGCGCGACCCAACCATAGGATACACGGAAGTCGTTCTAAGCCCTGCCATTCACCCACCGACGAAACATCGATTCAATATTTTGAGCGTGGAGATCAAAAACATCGCATGGTCTCCGTGGATTCGATCCAAAGCGGCGACATTGTGCTGCCTCGATTTATTACGTTTCCCGCGAACTAGTTTCGAGCAAAGTCTCTTTCATCCGACTTATCCTCCGTGCTTTATCAGGCTAAACGGTGTCGCCGATTGCTTCCAACCGGACAGCGTTCGATCCGCTGGTTAAATCTGGACCGGTCGATCCAGCCAATCGTTCAACAGGACAACATTCCTCCAACGCCGGGAATTCTTCGGTCCAACAGGATTCGTGAAAGCCCAGCGTGCTTTCCATTCGATCGCGCACAATCGAAAGCAATTACACCAGACATTCTTTTCTAGTCCTCCTCCTGGCACAGTTTATGCCTCCTTTGATCCGTTGCCACGATTCATCCTATCGACCGTTAAATCCTCGGAAGCACTCGATACACGCGCGACAGTTCTTGAAACTCGCGAATGGGTGGATCACGACGAAGGACGCTGGATACCTGTGGATTCCACGGCGACTAATAACAATAATACCGGGATCGAGGTTATCAGCGAACGTTCCACCGCGTTGACCAAGATCGAACGAGCAGGGGCGGCATCGGCGTCGCCTTGCCGCTCCTCATCGTCCTTCGTCGTCCTGCTCGAGCTTTAATCTGAATCGCCGAGACAACGCTCTCGAGCCACGTTGTTGAACGAACGGCGAGCGACTGGCTGTCTGCTCGAGTTTCCACACTACCTCGAATCCCGAAGCTCGCGCGTTCGTGAGAGATCGGGGGAACCACCGATGGAGGGGACACTGACGGCCTGCCCTCTCCGTTCATCCCCATGCGCATACGCTGCTCTCGCCACCGACCCTTAATTCCCGACCGTCCTCTTCTGCTGCCTTTCTCCTTTTTCCCTTCCTTCTGCTCCTCCTCTCGCCATTCTTTCTTCTTCCTTACTTTCCACTTACACTTCTCCTCATTTTTCAACCCTACGATTTTTCCTACGACATTCAACTTTCAAATTTCCCGGATACGTTTCAAACTTTGCCCTGAATACCGGTTTTAATTGAAACTCTTTTAATTACCCTTATCGACTCTCCTGTACATACTTACTCTTACCTTGTTTTACACTTTAACTCAACCCTTCTCCGAATGACCACAAGTCTACAACTATGAATCACACACTTTGTTAAGATTTTATTATTAACAAATTATTTGTTAAGAGCCTTGATTTTCATCAAGATCAGTTGTTGGTTTTTTCACTTATCATTTTTAATTTCAACCCCTTTCTGCGTGACTTTTTAGAAAGAGCTGAAAGAAATATATGTTGTTCTTTCAATGCTAGTAGTTAATAAAAGCTAGTTTTGAAAAAAATCTTTTTTATTATTCATAGGTTTGGCCTACGTATGGCACATCATGCACTTGTAGATATAAAAATACAGTTTAGTATTTTTCAACTATGTTTGGCTCATACATGGTTCATATATGAACCCCCTTTTTGCAAATTCATCCATTCTTGGACACAGTTTACGTGCAAAATAACTTAAAGAAGTAAGAGAACACTTGATCCCCTCGAACTTGTGTACGACAGAGTCTGGCAGTAAATTTTTTCTGATACGTTATTTCCTGATACTCTCCCGCGTTTTTACCGCACCCATTGTTCATCAGCGACACTTTTTAAAATACACTCGACGCGGGAGCGTAGACTCTCTACTCGAGAGGAGAAAAGAGAATTTATAGTTTCCAATTTTCCGTTGGTCGCTGGCACCCCAAACTCGCAGGAATCTCTGACTTCGAGTATAACGAGAAACAGTATATTCTTTCGTTCTTTTTCCACGCTAACTCCGCGATGCCGTGTTACGAAAACCTTCGCGATCGACGTATGTCGCGGGCCGCAGAGTTCCGAAATAACGAGGAAAAACGAACAGGCGAATGTAACAAGCTCAGTAAGCACGAGGATTTTATTTCGCGGAAGAGTATTCTGTTTATTCCGGCGTCTTCTTGGCTCTGCGGAAAGAGACCGTGTATCGTGTAACGTTGATTAATTAATCGGTGGAAAATAATTCTCGAGCACAGACTATAAACAGCCTCGGTGATTAAATTTGCGACGATAGAAATTGACCTAGGGGATCTGACACGATCGGTATTATCGGTTCAGCAATAATGAAAATGTGCTACGATTAATCTTCCGAATACCTAGAGAGGATTGTGTCGCTAAGACGATTTTACTTGCAATAACTGTGTCACGGTAACTGTTCTTTTCCGAGCACCAAGATTAAGTCTCTACGAGCAGTTTTAGATTTCTGAATTATTTGTCGTTGCAACAATACCGTATCTTGTCGCTCGCTTTATTGCCCCGGACAAAAGAATGCGGATTATATTTCGCGGAGACAAAGCAAGAAAACGTTTAACGAGCTTATCGAAGTAAGCGCAACGGCGTAAGGTAATTCGCTTCTTTGTTGCTTCGTCCTCTTTGAAACGATATCCTTTTGGAACTGAATTATGAAACTTTATTTAGTAATTTGTCCATCGGTGATACCACGAGAATCGTTATTCGATACCGTGTATTCGTTGAATTTTAAAGGGAACTGCGAACGAAATTAGGCCACAGTTTCATAATTATACGCTTCGTTTAAAAAACGCAAGGTCGCCAGGCGTAATTGAAATTTATGTTCGCTGGGTTACATAGATTAGGGGTTACGCGTACATAAAAAATGAAGTAACGTGTCAACTTTGCGTTATTAAATTTACAGAGATTCTTCTAAGATCGGTCCTACATACGCTCCACATACGTCATAAGTTATATTAATTGCAAAAGCGTTCGTATCGGAAAAATAATTAGGGACGGTGTCGCTGAACAACTTCCCCCAAGAGGCCTAACTTCTAATAAAAGTTTATCAGTGTTTTTTAATAAACTTGTCCCGGGTTACAGATTGACGGCCATAAAGCGAATCAGCGCGGAATATCAAATGAGCCATGTACGGTAAATTACCAGTATAGTACACGGATTACTCCGAAAGTTTTGAGTATAAACACGCTTGTAATTGATTGAAGCGAAACAACGGCCGGATCCTAACCACTGTTTACGGCCCTGCTCCATTTACACCCGAAGCTTTCAGCAGGCGATATTAGTGGATACTGCACTGGCGAATTTCCAAAAGTTTCAACGTCGTTCATTGTAGTTGCGTGTCGATATTTACCGAATCGTTTGCGGTAATCGTCGATTGAACGCGCAACCAGGAGCGGGTATCGCGTAGTAGGTATACGAAGACACCTGTAGCAGACACGTTATTGGGTAAACACGTCTCGCGTTCGAGAACGAACAGCTTCGTTATTTCGAGTCGGTTGCATATTCATGGACTCCAGAAACATTTGCGCAGCGACATTTCGACGGGGGATACGATGAAATTTTCACATATTTAGCTTCAGGGTACCATTGTTTTGCATCGCCTACGGTATCATTGATAAACGACCATAAGCTAAATCGAATAAATTCTGATCGAATAAAGTCCTCCAGTAATTAGCGAGTTTTGTGACGTTATTTCTGAAGGTTGTACTTTTTATCGTATCGCGTGTATCCGAGATACCGAATGCCTACTTACAAACTCGGCACGCGATTGCTCCGCATTCCTCTCGAATTTCTCTCTATAAAGCGGCACGGGTATCGGCATCCTCGCTATTCCAAAATACTCCTTGTTGTAGCGTATTTACGAGTAACTTTACACGTCTAGAGCGCGTACTCGGAATCTTTGCTCTATCCAGGACCCTACAACAATTTTAATTTATTAGCTCTTTACGCTCTCTAGTTTCTTTTATCAATCTTTTAACCCTTTGCACTATTTTGACGAGTCTGACTCGTGACGCACTAGTAGCGTGATTAATTTTACTGGAATTTTTAATACACATTTGGAGTACAAGTCCAATTATAATTTACATACGATTGCATTATAATTTTTGTTTTAATATTGTAGCTGTAATTAGTCAGTTCTGACTGACGTACTTGAGAAATAAGTCATAGTGCAAGGGGTTAATTTTACTTGGAAAGAAGTCCTCAAAAACATGTATTACAATAGTGCATATAATATGACAGATACATTTTTTATATTATAAGTAGTGAATAAATGAAAATATGTTGAATCTATCTGATTGTAGGGGTCCTCAAAAAAATATACTGCAATAGTGCATGTATGACAAATACATTTTTCATTCATTGTAAGTAGTAAATAAATAAAAATATATTTAATGTATCTGATTGAAGAGGTCCTCAAAAAAATAGACTGCAATAGTGCATGTATGACAAATACATTTTTCATTCATTGTAAGTAGTAAATAAATAAAAATATATTTAATGTATCTGATTGAAGAGGTCCTTAAAAAAATATACTACAATAGTGCACACATGAAAAATACATTTTTTTATTCATTATAAACAGTAAATAAATGACAATACATTCAATCTATCTGACTGAAGGGGTCCTCAAAAAAATATACTGCAATACTGCATACATGAAAAATACATTTTTTTATTCATTATAAACCGTAAATAAATGAAAATGTATTCAATCTATCTGTTTGAAGAGGTCCTTAAAAAAATATACTGCAATAGTGAACACATGAAAAATACATTTTTTTATTCATTATAAACAGTAAATAAATGAAAATATGTTCAATCTATCTGTTTGAAGAGGTCCTCAAAAAAATATACTGCAATAGTGCACACATGACAGATACATTTTTTATTCATTACAAATAGTAAATAAATAAAAGTATGTTCAACCTATCTGAATTATTTATAAGATCCAAATGTGATGAGCTTCGTACCTGTGCAAAGAGTTGCCCTTTCGTAGCATCTCACGTAGCGTCTGACTACATGCGGACTCATACTACTTGCACGAGGCTCCTCCACTAAAAACTATGTTCACACAGAAGTATCTCGATTAAACAAGTTGGGATTACTATATTATACTTTATAGTTTATCTCGTGACTTTATGACAGGTTTCTGGTAAAAATCTCTAGGGAACAGGAAGGCCTTCGTGGAATATTAATTGCATCCGTCTGGGTTCCGCGTTGAAAATCAAGGGATTTCCAATAATTCTTTCGGAGTAGGTCTCTGAAACGCGAGGATAAGAGGGATACCCGTATAAAACGGATAATAGTGCACGACGTCCTTCATGACCGTGAAATTGATCGGAGTTCCAAGGATATTTGCGGGCTTGCCCCGCGCAAAAAGCGTTAGTCAGCTCGAAAATCCATTCATCAAAATCTGGAAGACGTACAGGATTTGCTACTCGTGCCTCGCGAAAATCCCCCCTGTAAATTTTTGACGACCTCCTGTCAGCGAATTCTGGAAGAGGGTCTC